GGCTGGATTTGAACCCACCACCTCATGTGTATGTGGCTGGCGCCTTAGCCACTTGAGCCACAGGCACCAAGCCTCTTATGTCCAACTTTAAGCTCCCTCTTACCTTAACCTTCAGTCCAATGGCTCAGGCCTGTGTTATGTGAGGAGACTTATGGCCACTGGAGATCAGTGAAGGCAAATAAACAAAAGCTGGCTCTGTTAGCCTTCTGCATTGTTGATTTTTGTACCTCTTAGGAAACATGGCTTATTGGTTGAACGTGGTTAGCAAGAGGAGCTGGCATTTCAAATTCCTTCCTGCCTAGACCTGACCTTTTAATCACCTACACTACTACCCACCTTGCCATGTAATAGATACTGAAGGGGGCTGAAGAATGGAAAAACCCACTGAAGAATGGACATTTAGCTGAGCCAAATAGGTGGCTAGCCCATGGGCCTCTCAGCCATGTACACTCCTCCACAAAAAGAGAGCTACAAAAAAGGTGTGATGGGGCCTGTAAGCTAGGCCTTAAGCATGCTCCTGTATCTCTCTAGGATTCTGGGGCCTCACAGCCCAGAGGAAACCATCATCCAGACAGCAAGTAGTAGGATGTAAAGGGCTGGGGAGAAAATCTGCACAGAGATCTGTGGTTCTTTTACCTCCCAGAAAAGCCCAGACACCATGCAAAAGGCAGGATGAGATTCCAGCACCCTAGGAGGGTCCCAGTCATGACAGCCCCTTCCACATACTCCAAGATGATGACCAAGGGAGCAACTGCCGAATAGCAGTGAGATGCATGTCCAGACATCTGAAATGAGGACTTAAGGATAATAAACCTTCTCTCAAAGTGGGATATATCTAGATGCTGAGCCTGGTGAAACCTAAGGGCCTACTCACCTCTTATTCCTTTTGTCCTTTCTTCCCCAACCCAATTTTCAGCAGCAGTGATTGCTGAAGTGATGGAAGTCAAGCTGGAGAGGAAGACTGGGTGATTCTGCTCACAGCTCTGCTTAGAGACCCTAACATGTTTCTAAGGGGAGACCCTCATTTCATAAATCATGATGTTGATGCAAGAGAGGGAAGCAACTTCCCCCCCAGGGTCCCACAGCACTGTGGCAACCATCAGTATTAGAATACAAGTGCCACTCACAGTCCCCACGTCATACCCGCGTGATACACAGGGAAGGCCCTTGCTTTCTAGGACTCCACGAAATATCCTAAATAGCTCCATGTGAGCAACTCCTGAGCCAATGTGGAGTATGAATCTCTGGTGTCTGGCCCTGAGGGATAAGTGACCAATTCTGCTGCTACTAGCCCCCTACAGAGGCAGCTCACTGTAGTGACACATCCTAAGTCTACAGTGACTCAGGGACCAAATGGGTTCTAGTAACTTTGCTTCCCATCAGGGTTATGCCAATTCTTACATGATCTCAGGGTACCTTAGATTATTTCAATAGTATTAGAGAATTCAAAGCCAAATAATGTTAATGTCACTTAAATATGAAAAAATGCATATACCCATATGTCCACCCCATTTTACCTTACTTGGAACTGTGGGTTTGGAGGAGAGAGAATGGTGAACAACATGGAATGATCTCACCGTGGGAGTCAGGAGATGAGGGGTTTAGCCTCAGCCCTTCCTCCAACCAGCCTCCGTGGACAAATCTCTTACCTGCCCTGAAGCCCTGATGGCCTCCATCCCCAACACTCTGTAGTTCTATAGTCCAACTAACAGAGCCACAAGCAGGCAAGTTATTTGAGTATTTCGCACAGAGACTTAGAACCCTGAAGACGCTCTCCTCTTGACTTGGCTCTACTGATATGGAACCCAAGCTACAGTCACGTGCAATGCACAGTAACGCAGCTCATATACACCAGCCACTTTCCAAAGCCCAAACTCCCAAACAGCATTTTATTCTTAATCCAAAGGCCATTTTGAGGACCTTCCCAACCTAAGAAAAAGACCCATTAGGTCCAGTGGGTTGTCATTAAAAAACACAAAAAGTGGCTTAGCAGCTATGGCACAATGGTTAAGGCACCAGCCACATACACCAAGGCTGTCAGGTTCGAACTCGGCCCAGGCCTGCTAAACAACAAAGACAACTACAAGAAAAAATAGCCAGGCATTGTGGCAGATGCCTGTAGTCCCAAGTACTTTGGAGGCTGAGGCAAGAGAATTGCTTAAGCCCAAGAGTTTGAGGTTGCTGTGAGCTATGATGCCACAGCACCCTACCAAGGGTGACATAGTGAGAGTCTTTAAAAAAAAAGAAAAAAACATGAAAAGTAAAATTTAACCTAAACCACTAATTCATAATTAGCCAGAAGTGGTAAACAGAACACTATGCCTAAATATTTATCAAAATATCACAGTAAGGACGCTCTCTTCTCACACGTCCGATGGGAAGTCAGGGCTTACAAGCAGACCCAGTTCTTCAGCAGGTCAGTGGTACTGACAGTTCTCATTTCATGGTAAGCAAGTTTAGGGGACACTGCAAGCTTCCGCTAAGATGGTATAGACTAGAAGGGTTCATGCTTTGAAGTTGGAGGAGCAGAGCACATGAGGGGTGATGGGGGGAAGAAAGGAAGGAAAATAAAGCAAAGGCAAGGCAGGTGGCGTATGGATGAGGAATAAATGGTTAATATAAAAGCATTAAAAATATGTCATTCAGTGAAAAGGAGACACTGGGGTGCAGAAAGACATTACGGACCCATGGCAGCCAAGGAGTCTTGGGGATGGGCCCCAGCAAACCAAGCAAGTGAGGGAGATGGGTCAGAGGAGCAGGGATTCTTGGAAGGACTGACCCACCTCATCTGGGTGTGAAACATGGCTTTCACTGCCTCATGACTGAAAGACAAAATAGACACCCAAATGGAAATCATTACCATTGGCCGATCCAGCGTGGCTAGGAAGGGTACACAGCATTCTGAGTTACACGATCAAAGCTTTGGCTATCACAGCAACCTTTATCCCAGCCCCTTGTAGTTGCTCTCACTGGCCAAGACGAAGCCTGGTATAGTAGAAAGAGCACTGAATTTTCAGCCTTAAGCAAATTACTTTTGTTCCCTGGGCTTTCATGAGATGATGTATCTAAAAAATTAACAGATGTTGTTATTGTTATCCCACTAACAAGCATCCTGGGCAAATAAATGTTGCCTCTTGGATGTCTCTCTTGGGAAGAATTTCAACTTTGGTTAGGGATTGGTTGGGTCATATAGGTAGTAAGTAAAAATGGCCGGGTTCAGAACTGATCCCTAACCCCGTGTCCAGGGTTCTTTCCACTATGGCAGGCAGCTAGGCAATACCTTCAAAGCCAACTTCCCCTTGCACAAAAGCCAAGAAGCCTGGATAAAATGTGGATACTAGACATTAGTAGATGCAAGGAAGCCAGAGCAAACACCAAAGATGATCTGAAAAAAAGAGTTCCTAGGCTTCTGGAGTAGTTACACCTACTGACAAGAAGAGCCCCGGACCTTCACACTTAGGGAAGGACCATCTATAAAGCTTTGCCCCATATGTGGCTAAATTTGATCCTCTGGCAAGCAGGTTAAGTTTGGACAACCGCCCTCTAGAAAGGATTCCAGGAGATCCAGGCCAGTGACCCCAAGAGGCTCAGAAAGCAAAACACAAATGCTAAGAAAAGATTATCATCTAGGTCCAAAATAAACTTTCCCATCTTGAGAGACTTTCTCAATTGCTTAAGAGCCTGATTTCAGAAATAGGAAGGAAAAAGGAAATCAGAGTCTTTGCTATTTTAAAGCTTATGCTTGGTACTCAGCTGAGAACCAGAAACCATTGTCTTTGGCTTCCAGGAAGTTTTGAGGGTAAACTTGCTTGTTACTGATGGCTCAGAGTCGACTTGCATCTGTCATGATAGCTCATCTCCAAGAGCCAAAGCAATTAATATTGCTCAAGCCTCATTCCCCCACGTCTCCCCAGCCTGAGCTGCAGACAACCAGGGGTTCATCCTGCTTGCTGATTTTTCTCCATTTGTGCCACACCCCCAAGATCCATTCTTGGCCCTTATGTCCTTGATCTGTGCCCTCCTGGGGGCAGAAGGATAAGCTTTGAGGGCTGCTCCCCTGGTTCCTTTGCTCTCTGGCTTCTGGTTGGAGTTTGGCCAATAGGAGGCGATGAGAAGGTGGGAGGAATGAGAGGTTGGGGTCTTTAGTCACTAGCTTCCTCTCCGCCACTCCATCGTTTAAACAGTGATGAGTTCAGCTATTAGTCTCAGCCAAGATGTTGAAGGGTCCCCTCTACATCCTCCAGCTGTCACCTGCTGCAGGAACAGTGCTTCCTTCCCTTGCTCCTCGAGATATAGGAGTGGTAATGGTTTCATGTATTATTAGACCCTGGGCACCTTAACCTTATTTGTCACTTTCTTATACCCTGCCCACACTTCTATAAATTATCCCTTCATTAAATTTGATTTGGGTCAACCCCTTGGAGTGTGCCTCCTGACTGCTGCTTGGACTTTGCTCCTGCCATACCTCTTCTAAGTCAATGTCATTCTGCAATGACCGCTAGGTAGATAATCCCAGGCTTCAAGTTTTAAAATAGTAGTTAGAGGCTTACCATCC